TGTTTTATAGTCATTAAGGTTGTTTACTTCGATTTAAATTTGAAAAAAACATGAGAATAATGCATTTTTCGTATGTGTGAGTTATGTTTATAAACAATTTCTATAATTACATTTGATATTATATGGAGTTACATCTTCTTATTCACGATTTTACATCTTCTTGTGTGTGAGTTACATCTTTCTATACGCGAGTTACATTTGAGTTTGGCTCAACAAGTTACATTTTGCATACACTAAAGTTATATTTTCAATCAACGCGGGTTACATTTTCTGTAATACGAATTACATCACAACATAAAGCCTACTATTGAAACAAAAGAATCGTTATGCAAAAAAAAATTGTTTTCTAAAAAATTTGTGTTTTGGCAAAAAATATATTTTTAAAAACATTTTTATGGACTTAATATTAAAAAAAACCACCATTTATGTTAACCCCTGCTATTGAATAAAAAAAATTACTTTTTTTTGCAAAAACAAAATGAGTTTTTGGCCAACCAAATGATTTTTTGGCAAAAAAAGAAAAAAAAAATTATGTCCTTAATATTAAAAACAAAACATAAACTATTTAAGTAAAGTAATTGAGCAATTAGACTCCTTGTTTTCATTAAAATCAATGTTTTATTTCTTATAATTCGTATTAGACAAGTTAAATTTTGACTTGTTTGCTGTTACATTTCTTATTAACGTGAGTTACATTTTGTTACACCCGAGTTACACCTATTCCGCTACTGGCACTATGAAAAAACAAAAAAGAAGTTACTGTTCACGCGCGTGAACAGTAACACGATTTTTTTGTGGGAGCAGCATGCTCACCGTGGGCTCCTCCCACGGTATACCAACTGATGTGTATGTGTCCACGTCACCAGGGGCGTAGACAGGGGGTGGCCAACTCTGGCCATGGTCCAACCCAAATTTTAAAAATGTCTAAATTTTTAGGGTAAAAAAATTTCGTGTAAATTTTTTTCCAAAAATATTTTTTGTACTAATATGTCCTAACTCCGCCCCTCCACGTCACCTTCTGAGCTCTCCATGCTTATTAATTAACCTTGTTTTGACTTGCTACTACTAATAACGTTTGATGTTTACAATGAATCAAACCAGGCGGTGATTCCTGCAAAAGGATAAAGACAAGATAGAAATCGCATGTTTTTATATGCAAAGCCTAAACTTCCGGATCCAAAGGGAATATTTATACTACGTATAACAATAAAATAAAAAATAGTAAACTTTCTAGGTACACTATTTTAGCTTACTCAAATACAATACAAAAAAGCCAATAATTACGAGATCACATGGAACTATGGAAGGTTTTCAACAAAAACACAAAAATATTGTGCATTAAGGGCGTGTCTGTTAAGTGTTATTTGGCGGAAGTGGGAGATTTGTTTTACCTTGTAACTCAAGAAAAAGAAGCGGAGTTGAACACAAAACAATCATACATATGGTTAGTAACACTGAAATGTTGAATCGGTTGAATCGACTAATTTTATTTAAATTTATGAAATTCTGACTGAAATAGTTGAATTGGCTGATTCTGCTCATTTACGGAAAAACTATATTTAAAATACTTTTTTTAATGAAATAAAGAAAAATATATATGAAAAAAATAGTTAAAATGATTTTGTACAGTAACTTCAGCCAATACAATCATAAAAGTAATTTCAATCTTACTTTTTCTTATTATTACACAATTCAGCGCGTGAAATTCAAAGTTACGTGTTTGATAAAAAATTTGGTTGATAAGCCGAAAAACAGTGTCACCTTCGGCTCATAATCAATGAGTGTTTTTTATTTCTTAAACGCTTTTTTCCTTTATTTTAAAAAATATTAAAAGAAGTGTTTATCAAAGAGGTATTTATATTTCGGGAAAAATAATAAAAATACCCCAAACTTTGATGGGGTGTGAAATAAACACCCCAAACTTGCGTATGTAATTTAAATAGCCCAAACTTTATATAAAAAGTTATTTTCGCACGTATTATTTCTTTCAAAAATGTAAATTTATGGGGTTAGTTGCATAATTTAAAATAGCAAATTAAAAGTGTAGCAATTATATAGATTGGGTGTAACATTATTTATTTCGCAATGGAAGTTTATAATGTTACTGGTGACTTCATGAATTCTAAAATATTTTAAATTATGCAATTAACACTATAAATTTACATTTTTTTAAAAAATAATACTTGATTATGGTGCCAAAATAAATTTTTGTATAAAGTTTGGGGTATTTAAAATACATATGCAAGTTTGGGATGTTCATTCCACATCCCTTCAAAGTTTGGGGTATTGTAATTATTTTTCCCTTATATTTAAAATAAGCACTTTAAAGCTAAAAGTGATAAATTTTGTGTTAAACCATTATTTATCTTTTCAATTAACAGATGTGTGCTATATGTTTAAGCAATTATATTTTTCGTAAACTAAAACTAATTGAAAGAATTAGGTGTATTGAACGAGTTTCATACAAGAACAATATGAAAATCAAGAAGTAAGCTAATTATGCTATAAATTGAAATTGTATTTAGTGTAATCGAGTGAGAATGAATATGATTTACATTGAGGTTCACTCCTATAGTCCTACTATTTATAGGAGAATTTAAGTAATTAATGCCATTAGGTGTTTCGACCGTACCGTTACTGAACACGTAGGGGGAAAAACGGCATGAACATCATTGGGATAACACATGGCCTCAAAAATATCAAAGCGCACTATATTCCCATCAAACTCCATTGTTAAAATCCCCTTGAACACGTCAATCTGTGTTCTTGTTGTTCTTAGAAATGGTCTTCCAAGCAAAAGAGGAATCGGTGTAAGGTCTAGTTCATTTTCTTCCATCGTTAACTCAAACAAGTCTGCTGGAAAAACCAGATCACCCACCTGCACCAAAACATCTTCAACCAGCCCCTCGGGATACACGTCGGACCTGTAAGCCAGTTGTATAATCACACCGGTCTCATTTAAGGGTCCAATGTTCAAAGCAGTATAAATCGAGTATGGCATAACATTAGTGGATGCACCGAGATCACACAACTCATGATTTGGTCCGACAGTTTGGTCCGTCGTGATGGTTTCAGACCCATCTTATAGATTGGTCAGCTCTAATTAACTCCCGCCTTAATTACATTAATGATGATATTAATACAATAAAACGTCATAACAACTAACATTATATCTTATAAATATATCATTAACTTCCGTGATCAATTCTTATAAAAACAAACCGTCAGCTCCAACACTTAACTAACACTTCAACTTCTACAACTTCCAACTCATAATTTTTGAACCAAATTTATTAACTTTTACCATTATATTAATATTCACATGCATTACTTTAATTATAGCACAAAAATAATTATGAATACTTCATTTGAACATATGAATTGAAATGTTTTCTTTGAAAGAAGATAACTTATTTATTAATAATGAGAGTAACAAGAGATAAAACAATACGATTGGTCAAGGTTACACTGGGATGAGACATAAAATCGATTAGCCCACAAGGATTGATCATATTCCCTAACCCTGCAACGATGTAGATTAATCTAATAACACTGCTGAACTTACTGGTCTGGTCTGGTTTGGTCTGGTAAATGTGTGATCTCTGTGTATTTTTTAACTACGCAAGTCTGGTCTAGTCTGATCTGGTCGAAAACAATTCAAAAGAAAACATCCTTAGTTGTCTACTAGGGGCACTTTCAAAATCACTCTCTTTACAAATTCAATAATCGACTTTTACTAATATCGCTAAAGACTTTTCATATAATCTCTAAAATAAATTATTTATCAAAAATAAATACGCAAAAACTACTTGAAGTATTTTGGAAGAGTTTGTTTACCCACCTAATTAGTACCTTAGTACCTTACTACTCTCGTTGGAAAGGGGGGTTTTTAAATGAAAAGCGTGTGCTAACGTTTAATTCAACATTTCAACTCAATGATCCTAAGTCAAAAGTTATTTAGTCCATTGTAATGTTTGTTACAATAGACTTTGAGACAATATTTACGACAAATATTAGTATAAATAATGAATAATGTAAAAAAACAAGAGATGTGATTGAATAGAATAAAAGAGAGGATGAAAAATAGAAAAAGTAAGTGTAAATGAGTATTTTTAAAATGGAAAAGTGTAGCCAAAATTAAAATATACTACCTCCGTCCCGCTATGATTGTCCCATTTTACGGTCCATCCCATTAAGATTATCCCATACCAAATTTGATAAAGTTTGTGTGACTCTAAATTATTCTTACTTTATTCTTACTTTATCAATTCAATATCAAACACATAAAACACTTTTTATTAATTTGTGTGTCACTTCATCTTGTCTCATTGTTAGCGGGACGGATGGAGTATCTCAAAATGGAAATTGTAGTAAACAAAAGAACACGAGGAGAGAGTATTTTACTTATTATGCCAATAAAACTACCAAACGGAGCCTAAGCATGCCATTGCTAGAACATCCATCAACTTTTTCACTTCTGACAAACTCCACATGCCCAAGAAAGAAAGAAAAGCAACAGAGAGGTCTAGACTCCAGTAAAACTCCTCATAATAAAGATCCCTCACATGAAAATGATTCATTCATCCTTCTCCACCTAATGCTACTAGATCTGACCCACTATCTTGTCCACCCCAAATATTCAATTCCCCACATCCAAGTTAGCATCTATGATCTAAAACCATATAATTCCCTAATTGACCCTGCCTAATCTTATACTCCCTTCATCCCATTTGATTTTGACAACTTTCTTTTTTTTGTCACTTTCCTATTAAAGCAGCTAATTTGTGGTTCTGCACATTTCTTTCTCCTCTACACAAATCTCAACCACACAGTTTTTACTATTCTTATTTCTCACCTACTTTGCACTTGACAAAATACACCGGGATGGAGGTAGTATGTACTCAGCTTAACCCCTAAGCCCCACCTATCTCTTTTTAAAAGATACTCCATAACTACTTTGTAGCAGTATATAAGTAGTCTATTGGTCTCTCTTCTTTGTTAGAGAGAAAGAAAGGACTTCTCTTCTTGGGAATTGAGGTTCATTTAGCTTCTACATTTATTTACATGCACAATCAAAGTCTGGCAGTTTCCTCTGCAACATTATAAGGTCAGGGGATAAACAGTTTGCTCATCAGTTTTTGGTTCACTCATCTCATCAGAATTTCTGTCTGCCTGCACATATAAAGAGCTCAAGAACATGAACCTATTGCAGGGTGTAAACCATTTACTTCTCCTGTCAACAACATTCTTGGTAATGCAAAATACCTCTAACATATATTTTAGTTGATCTTCCCAGATCACCCCTTACTTTGAAGCCCTGATATTCATCATTCATCATCCCATCCTGATGAGATATGTATCAAGAAACATACTTCAGGTACGTACCCATATATCGCACTATTCCTGTCTTTAATTTATTTTCAATTGGATCATATCTCGGGAGTTCAAATAGTTAATTAATTAAAAAAGATGTAACACACGTTATTATTAGGCTCCTAGCGTAAGGCTTTTTGTTGGGTTAACTATCATATGAATATGATAATGGATAAAAATGTAATATGACTATAATTCTGTTCAAAGTTTATTATAAAAGCACATTTATAATAACTTTATTAGTTGTACTTTTGTTCATAATTTTTTTGTCAGCAATATTTTAAGAAAATGTCTCAAACTATAACTTTAAAAACTGTTATTTCCCTTAACAATTTGTACAGCATATACCCACAAATCATACGTAGCATTTTTCTCTGGTAGACTGGTACCTACCATGGAGACTACTTGGCGCAATTAAGGGTATTTAAATATTTAATATGAAGTATTTCCTCCGTCCCATAATTTACTTCCAACTTTTCCTTTTCATTTGTCCCAAAAAGAACTTTCTTTTCCCTTTTTGGCAAAGAATTTGTGGTTCACAGCAATTATTATTACACATTCTTACACATTTCTCTCTTCTTCACAATTTTCCACCACAAAATTCTCATTTTTTTAATCTATGTGTCATTTGTACTATGGAAGTAAAGTATGCAATAGTACTATTTAATTATGTTCCTAAATTAATTATCTTCCAATAAGTATATTTGGCACATGAATTAAAATAGTAGGTATTTTATGATGGAGAGTTAGTTGCATAGGAGACAGAAATGCGTAAAAATGTGTAAGAATTGTTTGAATCACAAAGAAATGAAAGATTATTTTGGGATGAACATGGGTGGAGTTAGCCGGCCGCGTTGCTAAACAGATTTGTTAAAGTTGAGGGAATGAAAAATATGGAGTAACTTAGATCTATTATGGGGATGAAATTAAAAAAATACAACAAAATATTTAATTATATTATGTTTATCAAATGAATAAGTAAGAATGTGCCAAAAAATGAATCTCAGATATAATAAATAAATAATTTGAAAATCTTTTTTTAGTATCTTTTAGTAACAAACCACAAAGTTTTCACAAATTACTTCGTGGATAAATGAAGAATACAGAAACAATATATGGATAAACATACAAAGCTTTCACAATATACTGTTAAAATAAAACCTATGGAAAAAATGCGGCTTTCTAATTATATTTTAAACGACTAAAATAGTAATGTATATATTTTCCCTTAAAAATATGACATTTTATACTTTAGTGATTCTAATAATAATTTTAGTGACTATGATTGTTTTCAACTCTACTATAATGACTTTGCATAATTGTAGTGATATTTTCATTCATAAATTATATTTCAGCAATATTTAAAGAAAAACATGTTATTTAATTCAGTATGTTCTTCTTACCTAATTAATTAATTAAATAATTCACATATTATAATTGGTTATATATAAAAGTCATTATTTTACCATCAACTAAACCCTCTTTTGTAACTTATAATTTCATGCTTAGTTTTCTTTTACACATTTTAATATCCAATATCAACCATTCAGTGAAGCCTTTAATTATTTGTTAAAAACTTTGAGATTTTTTTGACTGAAAAAGATTAATATGACCGCAAACTTGAAATGGAAAGAGTAATTACTACGTAGTACTCCGGTAGTATTTACTTCATCCACGTGGTCATGCACGTACCCTTTGAATTTAATTAATTTGTACCACCAATTGCAATCATTAATTAATACTTTACGTTTCACACTTATTCTCTGAGTTTTTTTAAATATTAATGAATTTATTTTTTAAATACAAGTTAAAGTTGCGGAGTACTATAATATATGTCATGATCACTCAAGTGAAAAAGTTAAACATAAATAATCATGATTAAAATTATTGAAATTACTTTAAATAGTAGTAAAACTTAAACAAAATGGACAAATAGGACTAGATGTATTTATTCCAGAAATAAGACTGATTTGATCAAATTAAAATTTGGAAAGTTCACGAAATAGGAATAAAACAGTTTCAAAATTCCAAAACAGAACTGTCATGTTTTTTATTCCCAAAATAGGACTAATACTGTCAAGTTTAGAAAATACTGTCATGTTTGAAGTTTGGTACTGCCAAAACATGGCTGCAATTAGTCATATTTTGGGAATAAAAATACGTCAGTCCTATTTTAGAATTTTCAAACTGTTTTAGTCCTATTTGGGGTAATATCTCAATTAAAATTATATAACACTCCCCCTATTAGAAGTGATTAAGTTCTATTTTAGGAAGAAAACAATGATACACTTTGTTTGTGTTTTAATCTTATATAATGAATTTTCTCTTACAATTACCATTATAATCACTACATAAATAATTAGAGTAAATTATTCAGTAAAGTCGATCCGTTTTATTTTCTTCTTAATGAATTTTCTCATAAATAATCACTACATAAAAAATTACATTTTTAAGCAACTTACTTTACTCATAAATACGTTATTCTAAGTTTCTAGCCCGTCCGGATTGGAATAATATATATCCGGATAAACAAAAGGAGAGTAACCTGTCTACTTTTCCCTGCATATTAACATGCCCCCATGTTACTTGAAAATTCCCTTTTCAGTTATGTCAAAGTCATCTTAGTAAGCTGCGTAAGACTTTTATTCATTGAAATTGCAAATGGTAAAAAAGAATTTATTACGATAGTAGTACGTTCTTTAATTCTTGCAACACTTTAACTTTCACATTTGACAACCCACAACTTTGACTGTAATTATATTTAATTATGTATTAGTAAACATTATAAAAAGTTGATATTTTGGAAATTCACATTATAATTATGTAACATTTTATACGAAATAATTTGATTATGTATATTAGTAGAAAATCGTGATCAAAGTAAGATCTGTGAATAGTGCAAAAGTCACAATGTTGCAAGAATTATTTATTATCTGATTTTATCAAGTATAATTCTGCGGTTGTGTTTTTGGAATTTTAACTTGTGTGATTTCAGTCAATTAGTTGACTAAATTAAAGTTGATATTCATAACCAATTATTCAGTAAAGTCGATCCATTTGATTTTCTTCTAAATGCTAATTTACTGTATTGCAATGGTGTATTCGATCTCTAGTTCAAAAAGGTGAGATTAATACAGAAGTGGCTCACTATATATGCCCATGTTATAGTTTATATTTGGGAAAAGTACGGAAAAGATACTTGTGGTTGAGCTCGTTTTCAGATAGGGTCATGTGTTTCATTCTTTATCAAAGTGGTTCATGTGTGTTAGTCCCAATATCATCCAACAATCATACAAACAATAGAGTAGAGAATAAACAAAGATCCGATTCAATACCACCAAAGATTTCGAATTACAAAGTAGGGTATGAATGGCAAACTTCGGCTCTCTCTCGCTCTACAATGATATGTGCGTTAATAGCTTGTGAGAGTTAGGGTTTGCTTAAGTTAGCATCATTTTATACATAAGGATGTCTAACTTAAGGCTTACAAGTGGGCTAATGGGCTGAAATACATTTGTGGCCCATATTACACATTTAATTAATAACTACACAAATACAAAGATATTTAATTAGATTGGACACCATAAAATATTCCCAACAATCTCCCCCTTGGTGTTCAATGGTGTTCAATCAGCATTGCAGCACAAATATCTTTGTCTTTGTTGTTATATATTCAGCTTCCTTTGTCTTTGAACTTGACTTCTTAAGAAGGTTTTATGAAGAAATCCTTGCAATCTCCCCTTTGATGTCTTCTTTTCAATTTGATCTTTAATGTCGGGAGTTGAGGAATCTTTTGCTTGTAATCCTTGCCTTCCAGAAGCAGCTCTTGATCAGCTTGAGTGAAGTTCGAAGGCGCCTTTAGAATGAATGTTCTGATAATTTACAGGCGTGCACGGGATTCATCTTCAGTACACGAGTATCTGACCTCTGTCTCCTCCACAATGTAGTCTTTTTAACTCTTTGAAGTGAATGCGTTTGAGGAAACTTTGTCGGTGGCACAACGGAAAATGATGATTGAGTTGTGAGCGTAGCTGTCCATTTGATGCGAAGCTGACTTGGCAATTGAGTTGTAGAGATAGTAGAGAAAGTGTTGGAGGAGAGAAGTGTCCAAGAATGATTTGTTGAGAGTTAACAGCATGCGGACCACTCTCCCCCTCATGACGATCCGATGAAACGGGGCGTCATGCCTTTATTCTTTTATTCTGTGAAAGAGAAACAGAAAAACAAACAAAAAGGTAAACACCAGAGACACCATGGTGTTCCGTTATCACAACATCAATAGAGACACTGACGCGTGGCCTGTATAAAATGGTAGAAGCATTTAAGATCTAACAGGACTTCCATCCAGTCATTGTGAAGCATCAAAAGTAGATGTCACTCTGGTTGTTATGGCATGATCCTAAAGATCAGCAAAGATAACATATCCTCCTGGGGTCGTGTAGACACCCGTTATCATCACTACAGAGATAACCTCTGAAGCGATGGCCTGAACATGTTGGTGATTTCTATGTTGCAACAGCAGGACTTCCTTCCAATCATTGGTCTTCATCTATAGTAGATGAGCCCTATGGAAGTTCTCGCGGGTCATGAAGACTTGTAACTGACTCTAAAAGGTGTCTGTGTCCTAGAAAATTCAAAACATTTGGGAGTGAGATAACTAGACACGACGTGATCAATGAATGTTCAATGGCGTGGGGCTGTGGGCCACTGTAATCAGTATCAGTCGCCTCAGAAGGAGACGGTGATAAGAGATGAGGTTCCCCGTGAAATATGATTAAACACTTGTCTGTTGGGAGACAAATGAGTGGTCTAGGGTATGGTTGTGCATGCGCCGTTTGGACAAAATGCAGCGACTTCTACCCGGGATCTGAATAAATTCAGTCCTGAACCTATGGGGATTGTCCAGAGTATTTGAGTGACTGGGAGTAATTTTCTCAATTGATAGCACAATAAAGGTAGCTGATTTGACAGTGATTATTTTTCTCTTGCTCACTTGAGCTTTCTGCTTCCTCACTCTCATAGTGTTCACTCAGCTACTCACTCACTACCGGCTTTGTCTCTTGGGTAGACTTAGTTGGGTTTACTAAGCCATTAGGACTTATCTCTCATTTTTCTTTGATCTTTTCTCTCAGTGCTCCCCCTCAACTGGAGCATTCAGTAGGATGCCTTTTACGATGATTGGCACTTGGGAGGAGAACTTTGAAAACTCCCCCTTAAAATCTGCATCCTTGAGAGAATCCGTGCTTTTACATTGTCTAGCATCAGGAGGAGAAAAAATAAAACTCCCCCTCAAAAGTTGCAAGTAGTGGTTTTTGTTACCCGGGGAGTAAAGTATAAAACTCCCCCTTGGAATGTGCTTTCTTCGTTGTTTGGCTCCAGGAGGAGTGAAAAAGAAACACTCCCCCTCAGAATAAGCAATTGTTGTTTGTTCTTGGCGTGTGCCGGTGTTGAAGTGTGCATTTCTTGATTTTCTGCTCCGTAGAGAGTATACACGCTAGTACTCTCCCTCATAATGTGCACCGATTGATTGCTCGCAGCTCATCTTCATACCTGCCATGTGTGTGGAGCAATCGGGTCAGTTACCACACATGACGGACCTGCGGAACAGATTAAGTAATTTTTGGTACCCATTCCCAGATGGGTCCTTCTTTGGCAGCCTTGAAAAAGTGTTGCACTTTCTGTTTGATTTGGGATCCTAGGCTAGCTGGTTGAGAAGAGTTGGACAGTCTTAACTTTTCAGCTTCAGCCTTAGGAACTCATTGTTGTTTGAGCTTGGGTGCAGGAGAAGTTTCACTATCAGTGAGTGAATGATCAGACATATAATCTTTTAAGCTTGGTTCTCGAGAGAGTCTTTTCAAGTGATTCAGTGAGTGAACCTTGAGGGGATACTTTAAACATGGTAAATGATACCCCCCTCAACATCCACTTTAGCGGAAGCTGATTTCTTAGGAATTGGCTGATCATTCACACATCTATCTTTCATGGACGAAGCAACGAACTCGGAGCAGCATACTTTTCTAGACTTAAATCGGTTCCGAGAAGAGGAACTTGAATGATGATTCTTAACGTACATTTTCTTCTTACCATAGAACAGAGCATTTGAAAAACGACTTATGTTCCTTTGACGAGAATCTTCTACCTGTTTTCTTCTTCTCAACTTCTCCTCAATCCATTCTCCTCTTCTTTCCTCTCTTCTCTTCACATTACAACTTGTCGGGGAAGTAGGCTTGGAGTGAGAAGTAGATGCTTCAGCATCATCGGTTGAAGTTTCAATACATTTTTCCGAGGATGGAGAAGAAGGAGATTGAGAATTTGTGCTTGATTGAGATGATGTTTTCAACAAGGATATTTCTTTCAAGAGCTGTTCTCTTTGCAGTTCAAAAGGCCGTTTTTCTTTATCAAAAGCTTCTTTCAATTCAGCAAACTTTCTCACAAGGGGTGGAATGTATGCTGGTTTGGGTACAGGCTCTGAAGTTGAAGGTTTCCCTTGATATTGCACAGTCTCTTTTGTAAGGTAAAAGGTTGGAATCTCTTCAGGAGGAGTCAACGGGGGCTCTTTTGTTTCATAGCTCTCGTTCAAGGCAGCATAATCAAAAGGAATTTCTGTTCCGAGATTAGCTCTCTTGGCATCTTCTTCATCATTCGTTTCTTTAACACTGAGGAAAGACATCAACTTAGTCAGTTCAAGACCCATATAATTGATGTCATACAGTTGAGCACAGTTCACCTTCTTCAAATTACATGGGTTAGACAGACCGAGTTCTTCTTTAGAATTATAGAAACGGGTGTCTTTGGGTTGGTTCAAGAAGATTGTTTGTTCTGTCTGCCCCTTTGTAGCAAGTAAGTCTTCAATATCTTTGATCTTACGGTAAATGGAACTTCTTTTATCTTGAAGAAAATCGTTATCAGCTTTTGTTGTGCTTAGCTCTATCTGGATCTGATTCAACTTCTTTGTTAGATCAGCTATTTTTAGAGTCAGCTTCTCTGTTTCCAAAGTTATTTTATTAACCTCTTCTTTGGAATTGTCCAATTGTATACTCAATGAGTTGGACTTATCCACCTGCTTCAGTAGGACTTTGTGATTATTTGCCAATCTCTCTTCCAATTCCTTGATAATTTTGTCCTTATCTTTTGAAGAATGAGTTTGAAAAATACATGAACAAGGAGATATAGCGTCCATTGTTGTTGATTGTTGAATGTTGACCGTAGACATGAGGTTGATTGAAGTTTCTGCAATTTTCTGGACCTTGAGGAAAAATAGTCTTAACCTTGAGATTTATATTTTTTTATTAACTAATTAATTAATTAATATTTTTTTTTAATCTCAAGGTTGACTCTTGGAAGCTTTGATTGTAAGGTTGACCTTTGATGTTGAAGATTTAAGCTCAAAAGTTGAAATGGCCTCAAAAATAGCTCTTGAAGTTGGAGTTTTTAAAAAAAAATACTTAACCAAGTGTGGGGAGAAAAGGAATATTTTAAGCAATCTCACACCTAAACTCCTTGGGAACTTTTAAGCCTATATATATGAACCACTCCTTCCTTAGTATTAAAAGGTGAAGGAGAAGAGGAGAGCTCTCGCGCACATAGATTTTGGCTTTCAGTTCAAAATCGAAAATTCGCCCCCCCTCCCCCCCCCCCCCCCCCCCCCCGGTGCACCCACCCCTTCCTTATATCGAAAACTTTATCTCGAGATCCTTATCGAGAACCTTATCTCGAGATCCTTATCTTCTTCACTGAACCTGCGAAAAAACTTAAAACATCAAAATCTCAGAAAATCCCAAATATGCAATTTCAATCTTGTTTAACTCAAAAGTTGATCCAAAACATCCACCAAACGCAGATTAACGTCCGAACGAGGTCCATCAAGCCAAAAAATAGCAGAAACTAAGATTTTCGAGCAATTTCTTCAACGTCAATGGCAAGTCCAAATTTTGCAGAAATCCTTCAATCAATTTCACGCTCGGCTCTGATACCAAATGTTAGTCCCAATATCATCCAACAATCATACAAACAATAGAGTAGAGAATAAACAAAGATCCGATTCAATACCACCAGAGATTTCGAATTACAAAGTAGGGTATGAACGGCAAACTTCGGCTCTCTCTCGCTCTACAATGATATGTGCGTTAATAGCTTGTGAGAGTTAGGGTTTGCTTAAGTTAGCATCCTTTTATACATAAGGATGTCTAACTTAAGGCTTACAAGTGGGCTAATGGGCTGAAATACATTTGTGGCGCATATTACACATTTAATTAATAACTACACAAATACAAAGATATTTAATTAGATTGGACACCATAAAATATTCCCAACAATGTGTTTGAATTCCGTTATCACAAGAGGGTCGCACCGTTAAAAACGTCTGAAAAAATCGTTAAAAGTAACTCCGATTTTCAAAAGTGGTCGAAAAATTAAAAGAAAAATACCTCAAGGTGCGTCTCAATAAGACGACCGCTAAGCCATCTTTCTTTTTTGTTTTCAGCCACCATTGTCTCCGGAAAGTCCATTGGAAATGTGATATTATTGAAATCATTTAAAAAAAAATCAAACAGATCTGAAAAATCCAAAGGCGAAGGTGGTTTGGAGGTCATCTTGACGAGGCGCACCTTTCGATATTTTTCTTTTAATTTTTCGGACACTTTTGAAAATCGGGGTTACTTTTAACGATCTTTTTCAAACGTTTTTAACGGCGTGACCCTCTTGTGATAACGGAATTCAAACACGTGAACTACTTTGATAAAGAATGAAACACATGACCTTATCTGAAAACGGGTTCAACCACAAGTGTCTTTTTCGTACTTTTCCCTTTATATTTCTATCACATTGTTTGACCAATAATAAAATATAGTTTCATCTTTAATGTTTCATAAAAATGAATAGCATTAGCATTTAGCAGTGTGAACTTCTCGACTAATTGTTTTCTCCATGTTCAAAAAGTGGGAATTAAATATAAAGGTGTTCATAATACTATATTTCATCCTAGACTTATTTCCATTATCAACTTACATTCATATTAATTTTTTACTCCCTCCGTCCCGAAATTAACTTCCCGTTTCACCCCACTTCCTTATTTGGCAAATTATCTACATCAAAACAGTGTCAAACCGTGTCGAAACAGTGTCAAAACAATAAAATGTACCCCCAGTAAATTTATTTCCTTAATATGTGTGAAATTGAAGTAAGAAGTTAAGAAAAATGCTAGAAGTACAAACACACTTACAAAAAAACTTACAAACAAGTGATGTGGCTATTCTAATTACCATTGATGTAAAAGTGTTGTAAATGTGATGTGATGTGTTAAATAATGTGATGATGCCACATACCCCTTTTGTAAGACTTTTTGTAAAAGTTTTTGTACCTCTAGCATAACTCATAAGTTAATTACGGGACGAAGGGAGTATAACATAATAATGTACAAATATATGTGTGTGTGTGAGAATAAAATACTTATCAAGTTTTCATTTTTTTTCTTCAAATAATTAAATAATTATTATGAATTAGCAAATGGGCTCTTAACCACAATATATGCAGATAAAGAATTGAAGAGTGTAAACCATTTTCTGCACCTGTAAACGAGATTCTTGGTATTTGTTCTGCAGGATAAAAGGGAATGGAAGTTACAAATTAAGGCTTTTCAAAGCAGTTTGAAGGTTAGAAGGGAAGAAGAGAGAAATGGGTTCAGAGATTCCAACTTGTGTAAAAGATAAGCAGATGGGATGCATAAATGGGATATTTCAATTGTTTGACAGGCGCCATTTCTTTACTGGCAAACGAGGTGGTTGCAATATCAGCAAAAGAACAGTTACAGGTATTTTCCTAGATTAATGATGCAGAAAGGAAGGATTTATATAGTGTAAGAACTAAGAAGTTGATAATAAAACACTAATGAAAATGCATAGTTTTACAGAGACCTTCGACCAGTTGCTTGCGAGTAATAATTGTATACAACTATACATAATTTAAGTAATACTCTTTAGTGAATATCAAATAATCACCAAAATGGTAATAAAAAAATAAATATTTGAAGGATCCCACATATGCAAATGTCCCATTTTCATCTTTACCAATACAAAAGAAAATACAGGAATTTGTTATAATATTTATCTTGTAAATACGACATGATGATTACATAGAAAAAAACTTGTAGTGTTGATAGTTCTAAATTTCTTCTTATTATTTCATATTTCCATAAGAAGGTTGCAACAAGAAATACAGGCCTAGTGAAGATTTGTATGTATGTGATATATTTTAAGAAATTGCTCCAAATATGATTAAAAGTCTAAAACATAGGTAAAGTGCACAAACATTAATCATATTTTATTATCAAAATAGGACTCATTTAATCCTATTAAAAGTATAATTAGGAGTGAATTAAGGGACATTACCCAAAATAGGAGCAAATGACACTTGGAATTCCAAAAATAAGACTAGTATGTTTTTCTTCCCGAAATAGGAGTTATTACTGTCATGTATGAAAAATACTGTCATGATTGAAAAATACTGTCATTAATTATAATAAATACTATCATGTTAAATGCACTGTATTGCAACTATTTGGCAGTCACGGCTACAAGATGACAGTAAATACTGTCATGTTAGTCCCATTTCGGGAATAAAAATAAAGTAGTCCTATTTTGGAATTTGAAACTTCATTTACTCCTATTTTGGGAAATCTCCTGTGAATTAATCATACTTCAAGAAGAAAACAACTATGGTCTTATTTGTGCAAATTCTCAATGTTCGAGTCCTATTCAAAGTATATTCTTATTTTTTGTATGAAATAAAACCAAGTATGAAGAACTAATTAAGACAAAATCTCAAGTCATCACTCCTAACATAGTACTATCGTACAACATTGGAATTTTATCAATTCAGTACCCGAAAGATGGATTAATTATCAATTCGGAATCTGAAAGATAAAATGCATCGATATATGACCCGAATGATGAAAAACTATGAATTTAGGACCTGAATGATTGAAAACTATTAATCTAGGACCTAAGTTGTCATAAATTTTTATTAAAAAATTTTAAATATTATTTCGTTTTATTAAACTAATAAACTTTTGTGAAGAAAAGTTTATCAAAAATTAGTAATGGAATTAATAAAAAATTAAATAAATCAAAACCTATGAAACGTTAGGTCCTCAATTGATAGTTTTCCATCATTCGGGTCCTATACCGATACGTTTCATCTTTCGGCTCCTGAATTGATAATTAATCTATCATTCGGGCCCTGAATTGATAAAATTCCTACAACATTTTGCTTATATGGTTCTATATTCATGACCAAAATTTCACCAGGAAAGGAAGTGCATGAAGAAAACATACAAGAGGATTTCGGAGGAAAACGGAAGGATTTTGATATTCTAAGTTCTTCAACATGTCCGTCCACTCCCTCATCTCTTGACGAAATCAAAATCTCAAAACTAGGCTTATCAATCAAAACCGGGATCAAGGAAGAGCGAAGAGTCAATGTAATGAAGCACATAGATTCTCCGAGGCCCCCTTTTCGGCAGCCACATGATCTCCTAGATGTGGTGAAGGACTCAATGTACAGAGAAGCATGTTCTTTACCTTTACCTGTCAACGATGGGGGAAAAGAAGAGGGAAGAAGAGTCAATCTAATGAAGCACATAGATTCTCCTAGGCCTTCTATGCAACCCAACCTTGGGAAGTCATTTTCAACGAGAATCCAGTTGAAATTCTTTGAAGGTCCATTACATTCAACAAAGGAAACGGATAAGGATCCTTGTCGTTTCTCTTACGACGAAAGAGAAACACGAGAAAACACATTGAAGTCAATGATGAAGCAAGGTGATCACCCAAGGCTATCATTAGACAGTAGGGTAAGGTCTATAAGATCTGAAACAAAATCAAGTTTTCCCTTGCAGAATCTCAATGAAGGAGAAAATGATGAATTAGGAAGTCATAGACGACCATCAAGTGTAGTGGCAAAGCTTATGGGGTTGGAAAGTTTCCCTGAAGAAACAACCTCCCCTCTAGTTGACAATTTTGTTCAACAAAGAAAGCAAAACCAGGAAACTTTCTCTTCACGGAAGGATTCTTCCTTGTGTTCCAAACCTACAACACCAAACTCAAGTTCAAGGCTTCCACTAGAGTATGCTCTATGGAGTCAGTTAGACTCCACAAGGTCCTGCCAGAAAATACCACCAAAAAGCAAGGAGGCCTCCAAAAATCTGCAACAGGTAACCTCCTCTTCTATATACGGAGAAGTCGAGAAAAGAATGAATGCAATTGAGCTCGAAAAATCCAGTAAAGATATGAGAGCACTCAAACACATACTTAAAGCAATGCAGCAGACAAAATCAAGGTTAGACAACAACACAAAAGACATATCAGTTCAGAAATACGATCACACATCTCTTCGTGAAGAAAGATCTCCTCCTCTCAAACAATTCTTATCTTCCAATCCAATCAAGCAATCCATCATAGTGAATGATAAAGCACGAAAAAGAATCAACACGAGGAAAAGTTACCCTAATCACACTCTTCCTTCAATACAGAAGATGAATAAAACTAGACCCCAAGCCGTTGCAGACTCTGTGGAACACATGAGTGGAGGTCGAGAATCTATAAGCCCAAGATTGCAAAAGAGAAAGATTGACATAGAGAAGCAATATGATATGAGCAGGGTTAGTAAAATCCAAAACAAAAAACCCAATGAATCAGAATACTTAAACAAGAAGCAAAGCTCAAAATTGGTCAGTCAGAAACAAGGTTATAACCACCTCATCAGTGAGATAATAAGAAGTGATAGGGGGAGGTTTAGTAAGCACAGTGATGCAGCTTCGGTAAAATCAGAAAGTGACAGTAGCTTTGCCTCATGCATAGAGACAGATTTCACAAGCACATATCTGAATATTGAAATGGAGGGGAAATGTCAAGAAGTCCATAAAGCGACAGTAAGTAATTAATTAACCAAGTGTTATCATTATTTTTCTTATTCTATGGGGTAAATAACTATAAGTTGCTTTGCGATTTCACTTATTCATTTCTTTTTCGTCCAGAATGATGAAGTGCAATTGTGTGGAGATTCAATGATGCCAGGAGCCACAATCCCAGTTAATGACCAGCCTAGTCCTGTCTCTGTGCTTGATGCTACATTCTTCGTAGAAGATTCTCCGTCCCCTGTAAAGAAAAAGAAATCAATAGCTTTTGAAGGTAACACTTTCATTCCATAGAACAAGACTTTTTTTCATTATCAATCTCATATGATGAAAAAATCACTTGCATAAGCAACAATGGTTAAGGTGCCTTTATTATACTCCCTTCGTTCCAAAAGAATAGTTACATATATTCTTTTTGAGTTGTCCTAAAATAAAGTTTATGTTTCTTTTTTTGGGAAATGGGGCTACGTACAATTCCTACTTTACTCATCCTTTTATTTAAATGTATAACTTTTCCATTTCAACTTTAATTACTTTTTAACTACTACGTTCTATAGTAAAAGAGAGGGTAAGTTAGGTAACTATCCCATTTTCCTAATCTACGAATCCAAAAATTGTCATTATTAATATGGGATGGAGGTAGTACATTATATGCCACCTAGAAGAATACATTAGAAATCAGTATAAAAACTTATAAATTATTTAGCATAAACTTTCCACACACAAAATATCTTACCTCTATATTCCCATCATATATACTAGCGCTAGCGCATTCACATTATATGTGTTTGTCATGGGAGTGAATTAGAAGCAGTGTCAAAATTTATATTCACTTTGTCTCACAAAAACTATGTCAACTTTCTTTATTTACTAGTTTAAAAAACCTTTTTTTTTCATTTACAGTAATAAAAATGTGGTTAAGTTATTTCTCCCTTTTCTCACAAAACTCAATCAGAGAATTTCTACTAACTGAGTAATTTATTTAATATAGATTTCTCTTAAGGAAAAAAAACAATACTGAAACACGGACCTTGGGAAAAAATTTATCATGCAAAATTGAAAATTGCTTGGAATTCGTTTGGCCAAGTTGGAAACTTCTTATGAAACAAGAACTTAGAGAAAGTCTCAATAGTAAAATAGCTGAGAAAGAGTCTTTTGCATTCCAAATATCTAATGGCCTTAAAGGCATTTTCCTCTTTATTGTGTTTGGCTAGTCTTATAATTGAGTATATTGTATTTTTACCATATTAGAGCATGGTGTAATAAATGTTGGGAAAGCAGAATGGAATACAAGGGAGTTGGAGAACTTACCATGCAGCACCACAAACAATCTTGTCTCAGAGGGCAATCATAAGAACATAGAAAATATTGCTCACCCACTTTATCAGCATATGCTACTAAACTCTGCACCATGTGAAGATCACATTAGTGAGTTATCCCCTTTCTACCAAAACGATACATCTGACCACCAATACATCACTAAAATATTGTTGGCATCAAGTCTATTCAAAGATCTAGACTCTGTCTCGACGACTGCTCAGCTTCATCCATCAGGACATTTGATTAATCCCATGTTGTTCCATGTACTGGAGCAAGCTGAGAAAAGATGTTTGCCAACATGTAAAGGACCCCCAAAAAAACTTGCAAGGATGCAATATGAACAGAAAGTTTGCAGGAAACTTGTGTTTGATACAGTGAATGAGATTCTAGTAGATAAGCTAGCTTTAGAATACAGTGTAATGGAAGGAAGAAGTTTCAGCGGACAGAAGATTCTGAAAGAGCTATATGCAGACATGGACCATCTTAGGCCTGAATCAAACTACTCCCTAGACACCCGAGATGATGAATTGATTGAAATCATAAAGGGAGATTTGAAGAATGAATTGGAAGATTGGGTAAAACATCGTGGCGAGCTTCCATCATTGGTATTGGACATTGAGCGTCTAATATTTAAGGACTTGCTGACTGAGGAAATTGGTATTCCAAGAAGGCATCCCAGGAGACTATTTACATTCTAGTGGCTTCACATTATGTGTTTTTCTAGTTTCAAAACATCTCATGGGTCCTCTTTTTCTGACTTCTATATGAGAGAACATTAAAAATGTATAATATGTAGGCATTATATACCTTAATCTTCTTACCTTATACCATGTTTTGTCCATACATTCCATTCTGATTCAAGATTTCACGAAAAGAAATGGACTGTATATATGCAAGTGTCAGTTCTCCGATGATGATAACAGAGGACCTAGAATAGCTTAACTGCATTTATTTCTCCCAAAGATGAACTTTGTGCTTCCTACCTACAAATTTTGATGGGATGCACGTGCTATTGCCTATTGGATGTGTATTCTTTGTGTAGAAAGATCAATACAATAAGGAAGGGCAGGTTTGGGCTTGGGCCAATGAGGGCCGCAACTCACACAAAAACATGTTAATTCTATTTATAGCCCTTAAATTACTATACACAGTCCAATATTAAAAAATAATCAATTAAAATTAACAAGAATATCTAAATTACCTTTATTATAATAAGAGCATCTTCAATGCTAAAACGTTAACGGTGCATATGTGGCATGAGAAATAACCAATCAAAAAACAATAAATAGAATATCTCTCTCCTTATTTAAAGGATATTACATCATTTTGGTAAGTTTTTCTTCACAATGTCAAGCACAATGTCTAGATGTAGACATTGTGGTTAACATTGCAAAGAAAAACACATAATACGACTATAATTACAAAAACACATAAGACCGTGGAAAGAAGGAGAGAGAAATGTTATAAAATCAATATTTTGTATCTATCTCTCTCATGCCACATGTGCACCGTGCACATTATAGCATTGAAGATGCTCTAATACGACTATAATTACATTGCCTCATACGGGATAATAAAGGAAAAGCATATTCTCGTTCAATCCGGACTCTTGAAGGCTCCGTAGGAGTGAGGCTTTGAAACACATAAATCTTATTGCCCAAGTTCCACATGAGATCAATAGGATGTTGAATTTTATTTTACATCTTCCTTTGGACTGATCAACGAATTTAACTCATTTCTTTAATCAATAAAATAGGGATAATTACAAAATCAAGTATACATGTCGAACTTATTTATCTGGTTTTTCGTTTTTATATTTGCAGAATAAATAACAAAGAATTGAAAAAAAAAGTCGAATTGATGAAGATTGCCTAGAGTCAGTGAAGCGTAATAGAGATTATGAATAATTAACTCATTAAAAGTTAAAGATACAACTTCTTAAAAGTCAAAAATTACAAATGCAGCTTTTAGGCGGATAAACATGGCAAACCTTCTTTGAGAAATCATCAATTGGATTTATGTCATTCTAATAAATTTCCGTGTATTTGAAATTCCGCATCAGAGCCCAAGCCACTTTCAACATCTTGTGCATAGTGTAAGTGACCAAGCCTCATTTGAGTAGGAAGACCCATTTTCATCAAGTTTGACATTGTCAGCTTTGATTTTCTCAAGTTCTGAGGCCAGAACCCAAAATTTCTCCTTAAATTTCCTTATTTCCTAGAGCATCAAGGGCATCCGTTGAGCAGGGTGGACAAAATCACGAGAAAGCGAAGTTTCTCCCCATCTGCTCTTTACTTCATCTTTCTGGCCGGAAGAATTATTCTGAGGACGCCATCCAGATGTGATAAGGTTATACGAAGTGAGCGTTAACGGTAGTTTTTTTGGGAAAACTGTCAAATACATCCTCCAATTTTCATTAAAAGGTCAATCAAGTTCTTCTATAGGAGGTTTTGTCTGGCCGTCGCAATTTGGGTCACTTCCCGGTGGAATTTTTTGATGAATTTTTTTGAGCATCTTATTCACCAAGTCTAGTTTACTCATACCAAATTTCAGCTAAAAATTCAATCGGGAACACATTCAAATTAATTCTTGAACATAACTGCGCATTTTTGCGTTCTCGAATTAATTTGAATGCGCTCTCGTTTAAATTTTTAGCTGAAATTTGGTATGAGTAAACTAGACTTGATGAATAAGATGCTCAAAAAATTTCATCAAAAAATTCCACCGCGAACTGCCCCAAATCGCGACGACCGGACAGAGTCTCTTATAGAAGGACTTAATTGACTTTTTTATGAAAGTTCGAGGACCTATTTGACAGTTTTCCCTAGTTTTTTCCATTTTAGGTCCCCGGACAATTATGTCAATGACACTTTTGGTACTCGACTTTTAATTTTTCCATTTTTAGTCCTCGATTATAGTGTTAGAGACACTTTTAGTCTCCGACTTCAAGATTTCCCACATTTAGTTCCTAAATATTGTCAAATCGACACTTTTAGTCCCCCCATTATGATTTTGACACAATAAGTAGAGGACTAAAAATGTCACTATTATAATAGTTGAAGGATCAAAAGTGTCACTATTATGAAAGTTGAAGAACTAAATATGGAAATTTTCAAAGACAGGTATCAAAAGTGTGTCTAGCGCAATAGTCAAGGACTAAAATTGGAAAAAATCAAAGTCGGATACCAAAAGTGTCAATGACATAATAGTCGGAGGACTAAAAGTGGAAAAAACTCTTGTCTCTAAAAAAAGATGGAGAAAGAGTTGATATAAACTTATGGGCTCGCCCAACACACTGATATAAAAACACAAAAATTTGAGTAACGGAACAATTTTCAATATAACAGTTTCATAAAAATTGTAACAGTTTGACTTTCACGTTTGCCAATGCATAACTTTGACTGTAATTATATTTACTTACGTATTAGTAAACATTAAAAAAAGTTAATATATTGAAAATTTACACTAATACAAATTTATTAATATTTTATACATAATATTTTTATTATATATATTATTAGAAAATCGTAGTCAAAGTAAGGTGTGTGAATAGTGCAGAAATTCCAATGTTGCAACTTTTATGGAACAGAGGAAGTACTAGACATATGTTTGTTACATAAGTCTCTACATTCTAGCTTTTGTATTGTTCAAAAAGTCTTTAAAAGCTTCTAGTTATATGTTTGGCATGACAATTTTTAAGAGCTTTTCAAAAATTAAAAGATTTTTTTTAGATGCCACAAGGAGTAGCATCTGAAAAAAGCCTGTGACTTTTAGTATTAATTAGTCCTAACAGCTTGTATACCAAATCGAACTAAATCAAACAGTTAGCTTTTTACCAAACAGCTACCACATTTTCTCTTTAAGATATTTTCAGTCACTAAAAGCTAACAGTTATTAAAAAGCTCACAAAAGTATCTTTTCAGCTACTTGTGCCAAACATACCCAATAATGGAGGCATAAAGTCAATCATGGAGTGTGTGACTTCATTATCAAATACGGAGTATCCTATAAATAGGGATAGATTAGGATTTACAAGGATGAGCCAATAGGCCCATAATACTGAGTTTACACAGAATGATCCTAATACATACTCCGTATTTTATATATACGATAGCATACTACATAGTATTTCTTTCAACAGATGGTATTTTTTAATATCATTTTTATTTTGTGCTCATACAACTTTATTCTTTTTGTGTTCCTTTTTTGTATTGAACATTTTTGTTTTTAACATATTTGATCAGGGCACTAGGCTTTATGTTTTTCTAATAATAGTCAAATAGGCGTTTTTATTAATTTTACATTTTGTGAGGTTCTATATTTTTTCCATTTTTGTTGATTTTAAAATTATAATTCCTTTTCAACGTATTTTGATATGTTTGTTGTTAGTTGATATGGACTCCACGAAATATAGATTAATATTTTATGTCCAATTTTTAGATGGTTGAAATTTGCTGAGTATTTACTGTTGTTTCAGAATGTGGGAAACATTGGACTTAAATCTAGACTACGGTAGAAATCTTGAAGTATGCTCTCCTATGAAGTATATTATGGACGCATAGAGATAATTAAAAGTAACCTTGACGTAGTAAGTTATCCGCATTGGGAAAAAATTATAGAATCTGGACCATTCAGGTGCTTTGGCAAGCTTATGCAAAAATTGCCATGTGAACCTTTGGAATATTTATGGGAGTTACGCAATCATGCTACCACATTGGACTTGATGAATCTGTCTCCCGATTGTGAAATGTGTGAATTGTATTTGATGCAACCCTCCAAGTCTGTTGTAGTTGGTGATGATGCAACTTTAGGTGAAATGGAGGTTGATTGTGAGGAGGGCTTCAAAATTGTGAAGTACAAATGCTGACATGTGATGATGACGGAGTTGCGAGACCAAACGTTGAAGGAAGTTAAAGCAATGAAGAAAGAAAGCTTCACAAATCAATCTGAGATGGC